GCCAACAGATGTAAGGGAGCACTTCAAAAGTTACATGTCAGATGCAAAAACCAACTACCAACCCCTAACACTTGATTGTTTTTTTAGTGTTTTTGTTGAAAAAGGGGCAGGAGACAATCATCAGAGATACCTCTGGTTTCTTATGAACTTCCCATTCATCTTCCCCTGCATCTCAGCATTAGAAACTGTACCCTGTCTGGCGCTCGGCATTAAGGGGCTAAAAACAAGGACTGGTCAGCTCGGAGTCAGTATACTGTGTCTGAGTGGGGTATTCATGTTAAACTGCAGCATGGTATCTCCGTGGGCTAGCACTATAAATCAGCATCAGTCCGGACTAGTACAAGCAGCCACACAAACACACACACGTACATGCACGTCGCTATATAAGTGCAATAATCTTGGACGCGACGTTAAACCCCATTTCACCTCACCTCACCGTTAGAAACTGGCACTAGTCCTGTTGTCCTTACCAAACTGCCCAATAGTTAAGGTATCATAAGGACTAGCAGCAATTGTCACATTTCAAGAACTTTACTGTATATCATCATTATAAGGACTAGTGGACTAAGACTGTTAATTTCTATCACTGCGTCTTCTGAACTTGGTGAGGTGTAAACAGTGATGGACATGAAGCCTGTATGTCCATCAGGCCTCTAAGTTGCAACTAAAACGTCCGCCAATGCGACCTAAATTTCAATTTGTCTACAGTCTAAAATTCAGAGGTAGCCAAAGGACTACCTTGAAAAATATCTTGTGGCGACCAAGTTCTGTTGCTACACATCTGTAGACACAAAAATAAATAACAGCTGATCTTGAAAAACATGTCTGCTAAGAATTGTACTCGCAAGTAATTCCTCCTAAAGTCGACAATGAACTGAAATACATAATTATTAATGTAAATAGTACATATTCTAGTTGACAATGCTCATTGGATAAGCAAGGATATACCTATGTAATCTAGAAACATAAATTGTATCATTGTTCCAGTCACAAGTAATGAAAATCAAGTACAGTTTTCACTAATATACAATTCCAATACTGGTGCTATAACGTGTACATAATTATGATAAAAGATAATTTCAAATGCTTTTGGCTACCTCCAATATTGGCTTGATTTTACCACTGGCTACCTGCAAAAAATAATGCTTGTAGCCATATGGCTACCTGGTAAAAACTGAAACTTTGAGGCCCGTCCATGGGTCCTGGTTGCCCTGATGGAAACAGTTGGAGATTCGGGGGTTTCTCGATTCCAGTCCTGTTGGAGCTGCAGCTGAGGTCACCAGGACTCCCATACATTGACACTGGTTGCTTTGTCATCATGCTGTGTAATGCGAGGACATCTACGTAGTTGGCAATACACATACTTCTACAATCTACATGTACAATCTATTGCAGTACTATGTCGAGCCGTGAAGGTCCGGGGTGGAATAGGTCTTCAGCAACCCATGCTGAAGTTCTTCTATGTGTAAACTATGTGGAAAGAAGGTCGTGCTTTCTCCATGTTAAGTGACTCATTTTGATGTACTGACTGCTGCATTGACACTTGGTACAGTAAATGTTAATCTGATGGCAAATTAAAACATGAAGTCATGCCAGAATAAAGTTGTTAATTTAAGTGTTGTTTTTTTAAATGAAACTTGTTTGTGTTTGAATATTTTTACAATTGCAATGCAGCTTCTACCTAAAAATCATTTTTACCAATTATTGCAGTTTTGAAAAAAATAATTTCTCATCCTTTCAAAATTTAATTCGTAACAAATATCCACATATGGAAGTTTTAGTTTTCTTCATTGAATGTTAACGCATCAAGTAAAGGTGAAATAAATGGTGAACTTGGGAAAGGTTTTAGAATTTCATGAATTTAGATGATACCAAGATTCAATTATATTCCTTATGAATTTAACCAATGACAACGATGGCGCCGTTGGCCTGTCAGGTGATATCACATGAACATGATTATTGAGTTTATACCTGTCTTGCATTCCGCAAACATCACTCATGGCCCCTTCCTAATAAGACATGTCTGAAGATAGTTGTCTAGCGAAAAACAATATGTCAAGAAAATGAGCTACAAAACTATTTGCAGCAGAAAAATATATGTCATTAGTTGTCAGGGAAAGGCCTTCGTTCTGAGATGTAAATTGTTAGCATTTACTGATATTTCTGCAAATCTGTCAGTCATATTTACATAAAATGTATTGTTAGTTGTGAAGGAGATAGTATTTCAAATTACATGGACGATTGATATGAGTAGATGCAGAGCACAGCAATGGGAAAACAATGTGATTGCTATATCCAGGTAATCGTCTGAAAAATCTTCTCAGTCACCTAATTAAGGGGCCTGTTATTGCAAAAGAATTGGTTTCATCTACCTTATTTTGTTTTCTTAGTTTATTGTGTACTATTTTAAGACCCATCCCCATGGGCAATTTTCTGAGCGCCCGATAACTGAAATGCTGTTCCAAGCGACCTTAAACACTCACTCACTCACTCACTCACTCACTCACTCACTCACTCACTCACTCACTCCAATCAGACTGCCTCCGTGGTTTAGTGGAAGAGCATCCGCCTGGAAAGAGGAAGGTCCGGGGTTCGATCCCTGGCCGTCTCTAGTTCTTATCTGGCACTTGGCATTAAGGGGCGAAAACAAGGACTGGTCGGCTCGGAGTCAGTATACTGTGTCTGAGTGGGGTATTCATGTTAAACTGCGGCCTGGTATCTCAGTGAGCTTAGTCAATAGCACAAGAAATTGGCATCAATCCAGACAAGTTCACGCACGCACCCACACACGCACCCACACACGCACCCACACACGCACGCACATGTCGATAAGTAAGTGCAGTAACTGGGACGCAACATGAAACCCAATTTCACCGCACATCTTTCCAATCATTTTGTTGTTTTGTATAAAAATCAAAATTAGATTTAAAAAAGCATTTACCATATTTCCCAATTGTGCATGCATTCTACACAAAATGGTTGTCAAAATACAACTCCAATTCCAAACGAAATCACGAAAATTCTTAATCAAAGACGACAGAATAGATGAGTGAGTTATCCTGTTCCGATGTTTCATTCTTGGTAATTACAAAAACAGAAGGAACACATGAGCGCGTGACATTTTACACACATCCCTGATACAAGCTCGAGTCTTGGTTTACACAGCAACGGATTCCTCACCCACTGACGGCAGCTCGGACCGACAGATCCCTGCACGCAGTCTCATATCATATCTCATATCTGTCAACTTAATGGGGGATGAAATCTTAAATCTAATTTTGCAGTGGAGGATCAAGAACGTGATTTCTGAGAGCAAGATCATATTCCTTCGCTGCCAGATTTTATTGGGGCAAGAAAAATACAAGTGATGTCTAGTTTGACAGCAAATCCATGAGGTTACTCCAGAATATTTATTATTTCTGTGCGAATGTTTTTTTTATGGATGCACATGAATAGTTATGGTTTCTTGTAAATGATTTTGGTCATTTCCTTGAAAAAAGTAATATTCAATGTTTATTTTCAATTCAGACGCTTCAATAATACAGTTGATGTAGAGATATGTGGAAAATCCCACAGCACAACATGTAATGAGTGTCATTTTCGAAGAAAATATGGTTTTTATACACATTTCCTTTACATAAATATGGTTATTGAGACAGGTTAGTTAGTCATTGGAAGATATGGATATGGTGAGGTCGGTCATTTATATGATTAGGCTCCATTACTTCATTCTGTCTGATCGTTCAACCGGGAGTTGGTGTGGCAGGGTGTTGGGGTCATGTAGGGAATACTGCTGACCAATTTGTCCCTCCATGGGTCCCCAGCAACTTAAGCTTGATGAAAGATGAGTGAGTGAGTTGGGTTTAACACCACTTTTAATATGATTCCACTTACAGCACGGGTATGGTGCTGACAAACCTAGAAACATAATCGGGGCGAACCGGGATTCGAACCCACAATCATAGGTTTCTGGCGTGCCTAGGGGACTCAACTCTGCACAGCGAATCGTGGCGCTTAGACGACTGGGCCATCGTCGTACCTTGATAGTGTGGATCATTTCCTCTAATATCAATGCCTGGTTTGTTTGACCCAGACTTGATTATTTACAAGTCACTGTCATTTTGCTTGAATAATATTGAGTGTGGTGTCATGTAAATCAAAACTGGGACTTTAAGTTTTGAAGACATGTGAGAACAGCCTGCTCTAGTACACCAAAGAGAGAACAGTGAATAAGACGCCATGGTTAATATTCAAGCATTCTTTTTATAGGCATTTGCAACTTCAATAGACTAGAGATTGGATATTGGTCATGATAAGCTGTCCACTGTATCCGCCAAAGGCAAACCACACTTATTATGATTCTTCAAAGGATTGGTTTCAAATGGAACTGTGACCATTATTTGTTGATTCCTGGAGTCTGGATCATGGTTGAGAACCATGTAGGAAGTATCAGTGTTGGACATAACCACGAGAGACCCATGAAGATCCGGGGTAGAATAGGTCTTCATCAACCCATACTTGCCCTGAAAGGTGACTATGCTTGTCGTAAGAGGCGACTAACTGGTGCATCAATGTTCATGATGTCAATCATTGGATTGTCTTGATTATTTACAGACCGCCATCATATAGCCAGAATATTGCTGATTATGGCATTAAACAACAAACAAACAAAAACATAACCTCTACAACATTAATAAACATTGTATGATGTTAAATTTGCATGTTCAGTACAGTGAGAATCGTGGGCCCTTCTTCCAGATAGATATGACAGTCATCAATAACTCCCAGGCCCAGTCTTCTTAGGCATGATGAGTTGCTGTGCAGAGTTGCGTCCCTTAGGCAGGCCAGAATCCTATATCATGGATTCAAATACCAGTTCCCCCTGATTATGTTTCTAGGTTTCTCATACTCTTGCTCGATGGTTTCACTAAAGTGGTAAACATCTGAGATCTGCATTACTTCATCAGTCGGTTGTGTTTCATGATTATTGTCTGTTCCAGGGCACAACAGGCCTTGGGTTCAGCATCGCTGGCGGCAGTGACAACCCCCACATCGGCGAAGAACCCAGCATCTTCATCACCAAGATCATCCCCGGAGGAGCAGCAGCAGCAGACAAAAGGCTCAAGTAAGTTGCTACGGTTACATCTAAATTTGTCAAATGGGATCCTGTTCCACAAACAATCTTTACCCTAGGATTGATCATACCCCAGAATATTGACAGTGGTAGGGCAAGGACACCTTTGTGGAATGGGCCCAGACCCCCAGTACCTCATGCCTATCAGGAATAGGCCTTCAGCAACCCATGCTTGCCATAAAACGGGGTCGGTTGGTCAGGCTCGCTGACTTGGTTGATGCATGTCATCGTATCCCAATTGCGTGGAACGATGCTCATGATATCTATCAATCACTGGATTGTCTGGTCCAGTCTTGATTATTTACAGACTGCCATCAGCTTTAGCTAGAATATTGCTGAGTGCGGCATTATACAACGAAAAAGACAAAACCAATCATGACAACACAATAGGTCATTGTATCCCAGTTGCATGGATCGATGTACCAGATGTCAATCACCAGATTGTCTGGTCCAGACTCGATATCTGGAATATTGCTAGAATATTGCTGAGTGCGGCGTTAAACAACGAAAAAGCCAGAACCAATCATGCCAACAAAATAGGTCATTGTATGTCAGTTGCATGGATTGACGTTCCAGATGTCAAATACTTGACTATTTACAGACCACAGTCATATAGCTGGAATATTGCTGAGTGCAGCGTCAAACATAATCAAACTCACCATTGAAGACCAACTCTATGGCCACAATGGCTGTATCATATAGATAATACTTGAAAACATTCCACCATTGAAGACCAACTCTATGGGCACAATGGCTGTATCATATAGATAATACCTGAAAACAATGCACTATAGAAGACAAACTCTAAGATCCTTGACAACATCTGGACAGCATGGTACTGATACTTATCCAGAACTGTTTTCCCTATGCAATGTCTGATCAGTTTGTTGGCTGCAGCAATATATGAACACACAATGCCCTTTAGACAGTGGTCAAATGTAACAAATGTTATATTTGGGATAACACTTTCTTAGTAATGTACAGATTCTCGTACTTTTTGGGGGGTTGAGTCCCATCCGGGATTCAAACCCAAACTGAGGCACCTAATATAACATTTGTTACATTTGACCACTTTCTAAATGGCATTGTGTATTCATAGTTTTCGGCCATGGGAGCCGTGCCAATTTATATTTGTCAGATGGGTACTCAAAGTATGTGATCTAGACTACCAGTTGTCGTACTTTCATTTTTATGGAAGCCTCGGTGGCTGAGTGGGTTAGATCGCTGACTTTGTGTGCTGGCGATTAGGTGCCTCACTCTGGCAAGTGTGGGTTCGAATCCCGGATGGGACTCAACCCCAATAAAGTACGAGAATCTGTACTTTACTAAGAAAGTGTAATCCTAATTATAACATTTGTTGCAGCAATATAGTTGTAATATTTGCTGCTGATGATGTAAAGCCTGTTTAATTCACTCAGTTCCATGTCAGCCAAGCCTGGGTTGGAGAAGGCCCGTGTCCTCAGACATACGCCATTAGCCTCCACTTAATCATAGCAGCAGGACCTGACATTGTAAGGGGCTCACTGATTTAAGAGTCTGGCACTGGAAACGGCCAGTGACAGTAAAGGACTTCAAGTGGCCTAATAACATGACCATTACTTGTCATGAAGGTGGTGTGGTTCTGGGTGCGACCTTGATGTGGATTGATGACCAGGAGATGAGAGTAACACCAATCAAGCACCCATGAATGTCTGACCGGGAGATTTATCAGTGGGTTGCCGGTTTGTAGAGTCCGTCCTGGTCATTTGTTCTCTTCACACGGACAGATTGGACACCGGTGTCTTTGGCTAGTCACCCGAGTTTCTCCCTATTGCAGTAAAGGGATGATAAATGCGTGGTTAGATGGTTGTGGGATGAGGGAGATGGTGGGGGGTTTGTTTTGTATGGGGGACGGGGGGTAATTGAAGGGGTTTAAAGGTTGATATGAGATAATGTGTCTGATCATGTTGGTCATGATCACATTTGGTCGTTTGTTTTATCCTGTCTTGAGTGAAAGGGGCAGTGGGGTAGCCTAGTGGTTAAAGCGTTCGCTCGTCACGCCGAAGACCTAGGTTCGATTCCTCACATGGGTACAATGTGTGAAGCCCATTTCTGGTGTACCCAGCTGTGATATTGGTGGATTATTGCTAAAAACGGAGCAAGACCGTACTCACTCACTCTTGAGTCTTATGTTGTTGACAGCCAATTAAGTAAATATGACTTGTTTTAGGGTAGCTACAGGCATAGGACCAGGTATCACTCATAAGGGCACGGATATTGGTGCAATTGATTTCAGCAATTCCATCTGAGCATTATAACAATTGGTCCATTGGTGTGAAGAGGCCCATAGCAACGTGTCATCGTTTGAATGCAATGTGAGAAACAATAGAAGATGATGTTATCCATTGTTCATGATGTCATGACGATCTATGTGACGTCGTTCCAACAATACAGAAACAGGTCATTCTGCCAATTGAGGTCAAGAAAGCCACTTTTATTCAACATTTTCTCAATATAAGAATATGTGCAACTTTATGAATAACCTACTTTCAACTCGGAATTTCGGATGATCTGTCCCTCGTGAATTAAGGTTGAAAGGTAATCACGGAGACTCGGAACTTACAAATTAATTCACTGTGGACAGATGTCCATGATTACCCATTGCTCATAGGTTAGTTTCTATGTATCTCCTGAAGTCACCTGGGTCATGATGCATATTGAGTGTGGTGTCATGTAAATCAAAACTGGGACTTTAAGTTTTGAAGACATGTGAGAACAGCCTGCTCCAGTACACCAAAGAGAGAACAGTGAATAAGACGCCATGGTTAATATTCAAGCATTCTTTTTATAGGCATTTGCAACTTCAATAGACTAGAGATTGGATATTGGTCATGATAAGCTGTCCACTGTATCCGCCAAAGGCAAACCACACTTATTATGATTCTTCAAAGGATTGGTTTCAAATGGAACTGTGACCATTATTTGTTGATTCCTGGAGTCTGGATCATGGTTGAGAACCATGTAGGAAGTATCAGTGTTGGACATAACCACGAGAGACCTGTGAAGATCCGGGGTAGAATAGGTCTTCAGCAACCCATACTTGCCCTGAAAGGTGACTATGCTTGTCGTAAGAGGCGGGTTGTCAGGCTCGCTGACTTGGTTGATGCATGTCATCATATCCCATTACGTGGATCGATGCTCATGATGTCAATCACTGGATTGTCTGGTCCAGACTCGATTATTTACAGACCGCTGTCATATAGCTGGAATATTGCTGAGTGCAGCGTTAAACTGCGAAGAAAAATCAAAATGCATGTTTCTGGTGAGGCTAGGGGTATTCAGTACAAGGTAGGGACAGGTCTGCTTCTGTTTTTGCAGGTATTGAAACACCTTTCTTGCTTTGTGAGAAGATCTGTTGATGTGACCTGGAAAGATTCTGGTATGATCATCTGAGCGTTTTGGGGACCGACCTTAATCGGACATGTTTTACCTATCTCTTGAGACCTACAGCGGGTACCTGGGTAGGGTCGGGTAATAGGGGGGCGGGTACCCGGGTAGGGTCGGGTAATAGGGGGTGGGTACCCGGGTAGTAAATTTGGACTCGTCCCAGCCCTAGAATGTATGCTTTTACTGTGTACCGGTATACTGCAGTACGCATTTCAAACAATACGTATTGCAATATTTTTTCTGTGTTCCGTATATTGGGTAAAAAAATAAACAATAACAAGTTTAGCTATTTTTCTATCATGTGATTCAAAAATGATGTTTCCTTTCGAAATTGATTAAACAAACATTTTATTTTTCTATCACACTGTTATCTTCCCTGAATCCCTGACTACAAAATGGCAGCGACTGACCATGCTGAGTGATATTTACTTCAGTATGTAGAAAACAGGATCTTCATGTACAATCCATGTCCATCACTGTCAAGCACTTTGGCTCCTAATATTCTACAATATGTGTCACAAAACAGATACATGTAGTGCACTTTTGCTATTTGAAACTTTTGCCAAGACACATCCCAAGTGAGGAATAAACAATGTTCGAAATTAAGCTTAAACCTCAAGGGATCATAGCCCTAATCTATTTGACATCACTAAGGTCCATAGATTCTAATGCTATAGGAGCAAACACCAAGGACCCCAGGGACTCCATTAATTTCAAACACATATAAATTATTAAGTGGCTTTATATGGCTGCAAGATTGAGGGCATATTGGCCGTGGATTATAAACCTGACCACCAGAGGCTACCATTGTTGTACAGTGAAAACTTCATGTAGTGTTTTTATAGTTTGATTTATGACATGTTGTAGAGGAAAGTCTACATGCGTCCTTGATTAGTCGTGAAGATTTGTCACCGAAATAAAGATGGTGGAGCCCCATGCATATGGATGTGAAAATGTACAAACTGATCTGAATGGCAAGTTGAGCAGAGGGTCGAGGGAAGTCTGGGAACATTGTCATCGGGAGAAAGTGGAACTCGTCTTAATCAGATCGGGGCGGTCGGGTAGCCTAGTGGTTAAAGCGTTTGCCCGTCACGCGGGTTCGATTCCCGACATGGGTACAATGTGTGAAGCCCATTTCTGGTGTCCCCCGCCGTTATATTGCTGGAATATTGCTAAAAGCAGCGTAAAACCGTACTCACTCACTCACTCACTCACTCACTTAATCAGTTCATACTGCTCTGAAGCTTTGGGACAGAAGATGTCCAGGGTACTTGCAGCAAAGAGGATTCTCTTGTCAGGCCTCTCTGCATTTTTAGATATATTTTGGACCCGGAATCAACCTACATGAGTGATTCACTTATAACAGACTTACTCTTCCATGCTGAAATGTTGCTGTTGCTGACATCAGACACCATCTTATTGGACCAAGAGTGTCCAAATATCCGGGGAAGAATAGGTCTTCAGTAACCCATGCTTGCCATAAAAGGCGACTCTGCTTGTCGTAAGAGGCAACTTACGGGATCGGATTGTCAGGCTCGCTGGCTTGGTTGATGCATGTCATCGTA